CATTATACATTATCTGCACATTATAGAGGGCAATTATCTGCACATACATACTTTGACCTGCGTAGGCCTACTTTGAACGGCGTGGGGTCGTTGTTAATGAACTAATGTGGTGTTTACCGGTGTTCAGGAGTAGATAATAGGGAGGAGTGTGACATCAATAAACAAGGGAAATTCGTCATTTACTAGCCTTATAATACCTACGATTTACTACACGTAACTCATCCAACTTGAGCTCAAATCGGACACAGTACATTCGCCCATCATCGTACGAAATCGTTATTATCGCCTTATTATCGCCTATTATCTACTCCTGATATATATATATATATACCTCTCTCGCATTCTCTCGTCCTGTTTTTTTTATTCCACGCGGTCACTCTCCTTTCACGCACTTACGCATGTTTCTATTTTATTTTCGCGTGTGCCTTTCGCTTACCTATGAGAGAGCCGTGATATTATTAGACAATAACATACATGTGCATGAGAACCGCACTCATTATCTCGTTATCATTAGCTCGTATCGTTATCATTATCATATTCATTATCAGTAGCATATTCATTATCATTAACATATATTATCGTTATCATTATCTCGTTATCTCGTTATAATTATCTCATTATCTCGTTACAACCGACTCGTTATCTCTCTGCAGCAATGAAGATACATATGAGTGATACAACGGAGATAATTCTGGACAAGGTGGGAGGATTTAAACACGTATCTCGTGGAGAGGTCGAAGTAAAGGTAAACCCCGTTGGCGTATTGTGTTATGATATAATCAGGAGTGGATAATAGAGACTATAATAGAGATATTAATAATTCTCTATTATTAGTCTAGTCAATATATAGAATTTTTTGGCCTACCCGGAACAAATTGCAACAGAAGGTTCTATTGTTGGAAGTTGTTGATTGGACCCTCCTAAACTTCATATGCAAAATCGGCCAAAATCGGCCCACGGGAAACTGGCTAATTAGCATAATTCTAAAATGGCCGCCATTTTCAAGTTTGAGGCTAGTTTTTCCTAGATAGTACAGATCGAAGCTATAAGAGCCAAAAATCAGATGAATTAATTGTGCACTTTTTGACAAAAGCATGAAACTGGCATAAATGTTGTATAATGTATAATGTTATGATATAATGTATGTTGTAAAATGTATAATGTTATGATATAATGTATGTTGTAAAATGTATAATGTTATGATATAATGTATGTTGTATAATGTATAATGCTCATATATGATTGTGCTATTACATCACGACACACGAAACTGAGCGGCATAACGTACCACGTCCGCTAAAGGCCAATCTCAAGGTTAATTGGTTAAATACGATAAGGACACCTTGTCGGTCTATTGCCTACTCTACTTCGACATTTACTGTAGCGAACGCCTTAATAATATTAAGTTCTATCTCCGATCTGAGGGGGGGGGGTTACTTCAGTAAGTATAACACCTCCATCATGAGCAGAGACTGCATGACAGCTAATTATGCTGATAATCACATATGTATTGTGAATAAGGAGATTTTATTTATTACTCAAACATTGATAGGCAACCGACGCGATTGCAGAACATGGAAAATTGACGGTTCGATTATCTTTTATCATTCTCCAATATAAAACACATTCAACCTGGTTACTTAAGGGCGCCAAATATCTGCGTAGAGTATATCTGTTCAGGGCCCTTTAACGCACCCGCAGAAGTTAAAAAGTTAAAACCACTAGTTAGATCTATGGCTTAGGTATATTTTCCGATTGGGTCATTTTTTTGGCGTAGATTCTTGCACTCATGTCTAAACACATCTAGACAGCATCGTTAGAATTTCACTGATTAAGAAAAAAATGGAGTGCCAGTTTTTCATTAAATTTAGGCGCTCATTTGAATTTCAAAATGCCAATCAACGGAAAATATTCTTTTTTTTAAATAATTTCCAATTAAACCAATCTATTCATTCAAATGTCATACAATTTTATTCTATTTCTATTTATATCATATAAAGAGATCAAAGATTCATTGCGAAACAAAATTAGAGCACTCGAAAATTACTCCTAAATAGCAAAAATCCAAGATGGCCACCATATTCAGCGCCTTTTCTCCGTAAAATTGCCATACGTTTGTACCAATGGACATTGGAGATTTGTTGTGGGTCTAACCGATATGTTTTCAGTTGGCATATGAGATTCATAATAACAACGTATTTATGATTGGAACGACTCTTTACCATCCTCCAAAACATTAAGAGAAATAATGTAAAAGATGTAATTCAATATAAAAATCAATTATAGTTTAAGATGGATATTTTTTTTTAAAGCGTACGACATGCTACAGTGTATGAATCAGGAGTACTAGTGTCATTGCTTCTCACTATCTTCTAGATCTTCGCCAATCATTGTGGTGTAATGTTAGTAGCAGCTGTCGCCTTCCCGCACCACATTGCAAAGTTCAAGTACAGCGACATTGTTTCCTCTGCCATGCGCACCTTTCGCGGAAACTTTGATTTTTCACAGTTACACCTGAGCGAGTCTGGCGAGCACCTAAGACCGGGGGCTGGTTGGCAAACCTTGAGAAGAAGCTGTCAGTCGCTGTTTGTCTAGGTTTCGCCACCAAGGTCAGAGGTCGCAGACAACGGTTGATTTCATATACATATCCTGGTGCCATATTATTAGCCTGGACATTGTGGCAGGCGTATATGTGAATCCATGGCTCCTGAGTCGGTGCAGTTTCGTGCAACTCCTTGTTCATTCCTTGAAGTTGCTGAGACAAAAACCATCTGAAGCATATTGTGCTTCGCCCAATGTGGACCTCCACTTGGACAGAAAGAGAGCAAAGAAAACTCTTCACAGCCATGTAAACTTTTTCGGATGTTCATCTCCGTTCGGCCAAGACCAGCTAGTGCTATCAGGGATCGGTGGCGGCTTGCTTCAGGAACAGTTGCAAAGCATCCCTTCTTTTCCCTGTCCTTGGATATGTTGCTGTCGTATCCACAGCCGTGTAAGAGCATGCAGTTTATGCAAGCTGCTGATTTCTCCGGTCGCAAGGCTTTGCGATAAATTAGGCTGTAGGAAGAGCTTTTCGTATGTCTTTCGCTTGTCCCAGCATTAGGCAGAATGGTTTGCAATAGTGGCGTTCTTCGGTAGAGGCAGAAGCAGCACTCTGTGTCTTGAAATATATGGGACATTAGATCCCGTTGCTCGCAACTCTCTACAGCATGATAAATCATAAGAGTAGTCGCGCCTGCTTCCTGTGTGCTACACCGGGCATGTTATTTCACACATTCATAATTCGTCTATGAGCCTCC